TTTTATTTATTTATTATGGAGAGAAAGAGAATTGTCTATTTATGCATTTTCTTATCTTCTAGTATTTTTATAGTTACTATGATTCGCACTTATGCTACTAAACATAATTTATTTATGCAAATGTTATCGATAAGTACCTAGATAACCTAGATTTTCTATAATAGAAGTTGAGAAGCTAGCTTTAGATTCTAGATGAGCCTCGGTTCGTGACTATATTATTCATGGGTGGTTTATAGGGTTAGGTACCTTGGGACCATAATCTGCTTTGGATTAATTATAGGATGGATTTTACATTATTATCTGCCTACATTACTTGAATAATTAATCGTGCTATAATTAATTTATATAGTTTGAATCAATCTTTGAAAATATTGTACTAGCCGTAGTCACATTTAAATGGATTCACCACACACGAAATCATTTTACATTTGAAAAAAAATGTGTTTAGTTTATCATGAAGCTATTTTTAATTAATTCTTTTAACTTAAACACTATTCTAGTTATTGCTTCATATTCCACGAAAAACGTAATACTTAAATAAACACAAATAAGTAATTTTCTGCTCTCGCCTCTTTAAATATTTCGCTTTTACTATTCTTTTTCAATATAATCTAAAATTAAGTAGCAGTAAAAAACAGCATCTATAACAAGTTTACTTACGATAATAAATTAAAATTTATTAATATTTTTTTTGGGTAAAAATTTCTTTAAAGTTCTTATTACTAATTTAGATATTTTCATTTTCTCACTTTTTTTCACATTATTTTGACATTCATTCACAACTACGAAAATCAGTTTTTTTTTTATTTATTTTTCTTTACTAGTTGATATTTTGTCAAATTTAGTTTTTTTTAATTACTTCTTTGGAGTTACTTCTTCAAAAATCAACTTCTGCAACTTTTAACATATAGACGATCTAATGAACTATTTTCACAACCCTTGACGAAAAATTTTACTTCCTTACAAAATACTGAAACCAAAACCTTCCATAAATTAGAGTATTACAGGTTATATATATATATATATATATATAATATATATATATATATATTTATATATATATATATATATATATATATATATATATATATATAGTAATTTTATATAGTAATTTTATATAGGTAATTAGTCAGTTTCTTTTTTTTCTACCAAAGCAATAATCATTATTTATAAAAAAAAAAAAAATTACCTTCCGGGCTGACCTCCCTTTTCTCCCAAAATTCATTCCTGGATCCACTAGTGTTATATGTATATATGAATGAATGAATGAATTTGGGGGGGAAAGGGAGGTCAGCCCGGAAGGTAATTTTTTTTTTTTATAAATAATGATTACTACTTTGGTAGAAAAAAAAAAGAAACTGACAATTACCTATATAAAATTACTTTTAAAGATAGGTTTTTACTATTTATTTTAGAAGACATGGTTATTTTTTAACATTTTGGGGTGGAGGAAAAAGTGATTTAGCCCAAAATCCTCCCTTCCGTAGATCCGTCTTTGTTTGTCTATACATATATATATATATATATATATATATTGTTTACCTCTACTGTAGTGATATGGTTTTTAATTTTAGTTGGAACGTTGTTAAAGAATTTTTTCTATGATATTTAATAATTCATAAAAAATATATTTTCTTTAAGTGTCGTCGTTTCTTACTAATTTTTCCTACGTATGAATTAAAAAATGTTTCGAAAATTGAATGTGTCAGTAGTTTTTATAATTTTTTTTTATCTGAATATTTTCTGGCGCTATAATTATTTTATTCACCTTTTTTGTTTAGAAAATTAGCATTAGGGTCCACTTTTTATCCAACAAAAAAAATTATTAAATTTTGCAATATCGATCAGGAAAAAAGGGTTTAAAGAACCACGGCTCTATGAGGGTTTTTGTATTCCTGACTTTGGAAGATACGGCTAGTTTACGATATTGCAGCTAGAATTAACTCTGTTATTTTGCCGATATGCATCTTTAATATCCTGTTCGCTTCCCCGGGGTTATTCTCTTCGTGTTCCCTCGTGATCCTCGATGCAACTCGTGTAAGAAAGTTTCTAATTTTGTTATTGTAAATCAGTTGTGTTAATGAGTGGGCTTCTGAAAAAAAAAAAAAAATGTTTTTGAAGCTCTTAAGAAACAAAATTTGTTTTCTTGGAAGAGTTACTAAGAGTGTATGCAGCATGGAGTTTAGGTTGAAACTGTACATATTTAAGTTTTAAGTGAAGTAATGGATGAACAACAAACGAAAAGAAAAAACATTCAAATGGATTTGACTAAAACATAAGTCTGAAACGATAAGATAATAAAGAACAGTAAAAATAATAATATGTAGACCTAGGTAACTCTGTCAAAAATAATTAATGATTAGTGGGACTTAAAATAAGAATAAAATTGAAAGAAAATGTTTGATTACTGGTTCAACTGATGTGTATATAGGTTACATATAGGCATATAGGCGTTATAGTATATATCATTAGCGGATCCAGGATTTAATTTTGGGGGAGGCTTCAGCCCGAAAGATATGAAATAGTGTTTAAGTGGTTCCTGAATTCCTATTAAATGTAATTACAGGAACAAGAATACTTTGAGAGATAGTTTTTAATATTTTTTTTCTGTAAAACATAGTTATATTTTACCATTTTTGGGGGGGGGGGGAGGGAGGGCTTCAGCCCGAAAGCCCCCTCCCGTATATGTGTATCCGCCTGTCGTATATGTGTATATAGGCTCTTGCAATAGGTTATCAAAGTTAAGGAACGCCAAGCGTGGTTAGCACTTGGATGGGTGACCGCCCGATTCGGATGACCGTCCACCAGGGAAAACCGTGCTGCCCGAGACCCCTCCTCGGGTGTATGAGGCCTGTCAGCCTACTGGCGGCAACTCACGCCGGGAATCGGGATTTGGTCTAGGAGAGACCACATCTCGCTGTCAAAGATCTTAATGGTCTGTAGCGCCAACCGAAAAAAAAAAAAAATGTATATATATATATATATATATATATATATATGGGCGTAGGACTGATGACCCTACCCCGTGTACTTGAATCGGGAATCGGGATGTGGTTTACCAGGATGTTAATAGCCCCCCTAAGGTTCGGTCCATGGACGGTCTGTTTCAGGGAAAGAAATATAGGTCCTCGTGCACCTGCTGACTTCGAGTAGCCATAATCCATGGATCTAGACCGATTTATCACTGTCATTGAACCTGAGAAAGTGGGTGGGAAGGACATTTCCAGATTGGCCCCAGAGGGATCGGCTATGGATCTACGGGTGGCCTGCCGCTGCACCATGGAAACCATGGTTCGTAGCAACGTGAGGTTGGGTGATCCCCCTCCAGGATGTCTTAGCTCTCGCAAGTATCACACGTCTGTAAGGCCAAAGATCTTCTCGGTCTGTAGTGCCAACCGAAAAAAAAAAAAAAAAAAAATATATATAGATATATGAGGCAAAATCATTCCTTATTATAAATTTAAATTTAAACCATCAGAAAATTCCCCAATCTCATTGTTTTCGCGGCGATTACAACTATCAGTTGATTGAGCAAGGAATAAGCTTTGGTTTAATAAACGATAAATTCACCAACATTGCATGCGTATCTACCTGCACATGGCCAAGCATCAATCATAGGGGCATAGCATGTTCTAACAATGGACTCGCCCAATCATAATACAACACAATAAATTAAATTATGAATTAATATAAAAATATATCTGGAACATTAATTATAACAAAAAAAAAAGTTGGAAACAAAGCTCCGTCTCTGAGGTCGTATTTCTCCTTTATTTTTTTTTTTGAAAAACACATTAAAAGTGATTTATTCAGTTCAGCAATGCTAACCTGAGAAAATCCAATAGAATTTTAAAATCAATTGAATGGATGAATTTTTCATGCTTTGTGTTTTTAAACATTTTCTAATTTATTTCTGAAATTAATTTAGAAAAATGGTTGTGGTTACAGATAAAACTTGAGACCTCTCCATTTTCACTTGATGTTCTTACCACCTTCTCAATTAAACGGCATCAGAAAGAGTTCGTATCCCTGTATTAAGACTCGATATTTAGGGTCTTTTGTACATGACCTATTTAGTCTATCTCATCAATTCCTGGGAACTCTCAGCTCAGTCATGGTGTTTTAAACAAAATTCCTTCCCAGGAAATCATAGGCTACTTCGAAATCGACGAATAAGACGTTCAGATAGTTACTACTTACCATAGTTTTTCCCGTACCTGTTTAAAGAAGTAGATCTGGCTACGAATCCAGCTTGGTGGTCTTTTATTATATTTTCGTAACACGGATACCTCCGGTTTAAGATAATTTTGGTCATTCTCTTGTAGGCACTAATGTATCCAGAATTTAATTTTTGATTGGCTTCAGCCCGAAATCTTTTTTTTTTTTTTTTATCTAAATAATGATTATTACTTTGGAAGCAGAAGAAGAAAGAATCTAACTACCTATATGAAATGGTGTTCAAGTGTTTTTTGAACTGCTATTAAATTTAATTACACGTTAATTAAATTTAACAGTAATACTTTTAGAGATAATTTTATAAAATATTTATTATATATATATTATTTTTCTGTATAATTTATTTTTCTTATTGTGCATAAAGTGTGAATGTGATCTCTGAACGCTATTATAAATGTCATTTGAGACAGATTGTAATATTTTCAATAAACAAGTTAAAAAAAAATATAATATTTCTTTCATAAGACATCGTTATAGTTTACCATTTTGGAGGGCTTCAGCCCGAAAGCCCATGCCCTCCCTAGATCCACCTGTGCTTGTAGGCAATTGGAAGGAGTCCTGTACCTGTGTAGTTACTACACCCATAGGCCTGTGTTCCAATACTCTGGTGTATGTGAGATCTAGAACATGTTCTCTATAGGTCTTTCATCTTGCCCTACTATTCCTTGTTTTGCTATATTTTTCTTTATATTATCTTGTCTTTGTACTAACATTGTCTTATATATTATATTATTATACATTTTTTTTATTGTTTGTTTTTGCAGGTGAAGAATGAAGCAGGCAGGATGAGCCGAGGGAGCCGGAGATGGTTGCTCCTGCTGGCGCTGGCCTCGGTGTTCCTCTACGTCACCTACAAGCTCCAGTCCTGCACCACCTCCTACGGCAATGGGCCCTACATGATGCCCAGGGAGGTTCGTTATAACATTATGGTGTATTAGTAATAGGAACAGTATAGTTCATTGTGTTGAGGGAGTGGAGTAGCTCAGTGGTAGGGCACTGACATCCAATGCTCAAAGTCCCAGATTCGAATCTGGCTGATGGCAAATAAATTGTTTATTCTGGATCATCGACCTGGTGGTCGGGAGACCCTCATGGTTCACACCTGACCTCTAAAAAGTGGATGCCCTTATTTAAATAATTAATTCAGGGGAAAAACCTGGCGGTTGAACTCCATCTCTGTAAAATAACCTCCTTGCAAGAGACTGTACTTCTTTACAAAGTATTAAATCCAAAACTCTTCATGGATTGTAGCAGTACAGATTGATACAAATGAAAAGATTGTGTTGTAAGGATAACTCATACCATTTAGTATCCTATATCTTTTAGCTTAGTATATTGTTTTCAACTTCAAAATTTCCATCAAGAAATATATTTCCATATTTTCCTGTCATCTCAAAATAGAAATATTTAGTTTTAAATGTATTTTATTAGCTTTTATAAATGCATATTTATATAAGAGGACTCAGAGATGTTTTATAGCATCTTGTTTGGAAGTGGTATAGGTCATACCAGGTAGTCTTAGGCCACATCTCCAGTTCTCACCCAGATGCACTGTTCAAGTTTTAAAACAATTAGGAACCTTTATTTAATATTTGAAAAGTGCAATCTTAATCTCGTATACATCTTTATCAGTTGGATTATATAGTTCAACGTTACATGAATTTTTTTCTCATCCAAGTACCCAATCCCAGACATTGTAGGATTCCTTCAAAGACGTACTTGTAGTTAGGTTTCTTGTCTTAATATGTTATTGGTTAAAAGGAAAAATCATTCTCTGTCCTAAGGAATAAATAAATTTAGGCACAAACGTCCTTTAAACGATGATATAATAAAATATTTACCCATTTTTGGTGTATTATTTATAAAAAAAAAAACCCAACTATAATCTTACATTTGATTGATTTTAATTTTAATTATGTTATTAATACATTTAAATATATTCATTTTTAAAATGTTTTCTCACTAAATTATCTTTATAAATATTATCACTTCCAATTTGGGAACTCCTAGGTTAGGGGAATATCTTTCAATGTTACTCCTCAAGATCAATGAAAAACATATATCCTTTTTCATTTCTTCATTATTTTGTGTAAAATAATGCTTAATATGTATTATTGATTGTTAGTGAAAGGCTAATCCTTCTTCTGAAATCCTTCTTTTTTTATATACCCACAAGGTTGAAGGCCTCAGTCGGTTCTCTTATTTTGTGGTTACATCTAAAGGCTTATTTCATTTGGTTTTACTGGTGCTAAAACTTCAGCGCTGACTAGTGTCTGATTCTCTGACACACATCTGTTCCTAGTTCTACAACTATCATAGTCCATCACTTTCCATTCTACCTATGCACATAACTTTTATAAGCAAATGCACTGTATATTCGTATCTACAACATTCCTCGATAAAGTTCTTTATCTGATGGTGACATAAACAGTTATAAGAGAAATAATTAAATATTTGATAAAGACTCTTCGAATTGGTTAGTTAACTGTAAATATGGCCAAAATAATTATAGACTTGAAATAAAATCAAACATAGTTGTATCATTGTATATCACAAATGATAAACCATAAATTTAATTTAGACTATCACGTTTTCTAAAAACGTAAATCAGTTTTAAATGCCCATAAATGTAGTTTTCCTTTAAATCACGTATTCCTGCTGCTTTCAGAGATTAATATTTATTGGAAATATCATTTCAGTGAAACAAATTAGTAAAGGTCATCCATAAATATAGTAAAGAGAAATCCAATTACAATTAGTAATTAATAAGTGAATTACGTTGGCAAAACAGCATTTGTTAATTCCAACATCATTTTGTTTCCAGAACCTGTTTGGTTATTCAAATAACAGTTCTGTTTATATAATTAATCAACTGGTTTGTTATCACAGGTTGCTGATTTCTAAATATATTTTCCTTTTTTAATCATACTTTTCCCAGTTTTGATATTACTCCATTTCTTTCCTCCGGCTGAGGTTTTTACTTTTTTTTTTCTTTTTTTTACCTTTGGCTGATGTATTAAAGTAAAACTTCAATTCAAACATATTTTTTTCTTTTAAAAGCAGTTTATTAAAATGTTAATTAAATATTCTAACATAAAAGATAGTTTATTTCTTTTTATTTCTTATATATTTGCTTGTTTTTTTTTCTGTTGGCATAACAGACCAAGTAGATCTTTTGCCGCCTTAACAAGCCTGCTCCATCTCTGCCTGTCTTGGGCCATTTCTTTCCATTATCTACATGCAGCTCTATTGCATCTTTGTTGATTCTATCTATCCATCTGCTTTTTGGCCTTCCACGTGGTCTTTTGCCTTCTATTGAGGCATTCATTGTTAAGTAGAGGCTTCCAGATACCTGCTTATATGGTTTAAAAAATCATATATACATATTTATTTTTAATCTGAATTAAACTTTCATTCTTTTTGAAAATTATTTTATTTTTTTTATTTTCAGAGTTTTGTAGTGAGTAAGGATCACAAGGTTTACCACTATGACAGGCTGATGCCACTTATCTTCATCGGTGGCGTGCCTAGATCTGGAACGACGCTGATGCGAGCAATGCTGGATGCTCATCCTCTAGTCAGGTAATTTTTAAGTAAATAAATTGTTATTAATGTATCTAAACCTAAATAATTAATTAAAAACATTTTCTACTAAATGAACTGAAAATGAGAAGCTTAAGAAATACTGATGTAATCTTTCTTTGGCTTCTCGATGCCAATACCGTCGATATTTTTGTTCTATCTAATATCTAGGTTATTTTTTTGGTATAAATAAGTTGAAAACTTAATATTGTAAAAATACGAAACATCATAATTGAACATTTGCTCTAGTATTTATGAACAAGTTCACCATCAAGGGGGAGGGACCGAAAGTGAGGCTCGGACTTCTAGGAGCTTGTTAAGAATAATTATAACTATATAAAGTAAAAAGTTTGTTGAGCAAATATTTCCAAATAAAAAAACATTTCCCTATTATTATTATATCATGAATAATTACAGAATGTAACGTAGTGACTTACATGTTATTATATATGTTGTTTATAGTTTAAAGAGAAAATAAAATGTTGTCTACTGATCTTGAGTCAGCAAGAACATGAATATTTTGGTCAGTTGAAGCTCTATTAGTATTATTGGTCACTTTACTTTAGAAATCGCCATTAAACTATACTATTTAGGATAACTTTCTTTTCAACAATTTCTTAATTGTAGTTGTAATTGTAATATTATTTGAAAAAAATGAAATATACTATATATATATATTATATATAATATATAATAATTCAGGAAACAGTGGGAGCAAGACTGAATTACATTTTCTCCAAGCCCAGACTTATTTGATAGCAGTCCTATTTACAAATTAATCCATAAGGGGGTACTAAATAGCCACATGTAGGTGATTTATTTGAATCCAAGATGTATTTACTTTAATGTTGATTTACAGGTGTGGTCAGGAAACACGAGTAATTCCTAGGATACTTCAGATGCGACAGCACTGGGTCAAATCAAAAAAAGAAAACTTGAGGCTAGATGAAGCAGGAGTTACCAGTGAGGTAAAACATTTTAGTTTACTTTTAATTATAATTGGTTCAAATTATCTAAAACAACCTTGTTTAGTTTTGCTTCAGATAAATTAAGTTATGTATGTTATTTTAAATAGTTTAATGTTTCTTGAAATATCATAATTTTTCTGTAATATATAAAATAATAATTAAATAGTCCCAAAATAAATCATGAAGGGTCTGGTAATGGCGGGAGAAGTTACAGGAAAATTTATCTGTATTGACAGCTACCAAGATTCTTTTTGCAGAACTGCTACAAAATAAATTTTAATTGATTAAAGTGGATGGGAATTGAAACTTCACCTTTCCAAACCTGGTTGTGTATGAGACTCTCATCACATCACACTTAACCACCACACCCTTTCATGAATGGCCTGTGGGCAGGTGCTGGTGAATGTGCCTATAGCATTTTTATCAAACCTTATGATATTTTTAAGGTTATCATCATATAATTAATTTATGCCACATTTATATTGGATATTGATTTTCTTTGGATTTTATGTGAAACCAAAAATTGTTTCACAAGAGAATGTGTAAGATAAAGATAAAAGTGAAGTTCTGTAATGTATCCTTGATTAGTGTACACGCCCCAACTGAAGAAATGGAAGATGAGATTAAAGACGACTTCTATGGGACCTTCACAAATTAATTGGAAGAAATTCTAGGATATGACGTAAAAATCATTCTGTGCGATGCAAAAGTGGGCTAAGAAGAAGTTTTTGAACCAACCATTGGTATGCAAAGCAAACATCAGAACTCCAATGACAATAGACTAAGATTAATAGACTTTGCTACAGAAAATGGCTTCAAGATAATGGGTGCGCATTTTAAGCACAAGGAAATCATAAAGAAACCTGGATATCAGTAGATGGTAAAACTAAAAACCAAATAGACCACATACTGGTACACAAAAGACATACATCCAGCATTAATGATGTACATATGTAGTTATAGAGGTGCTGACTGTGACACACATCACTAACCTTGTAAAATCTTCCTTCAAATATAAAATATCCCTGCGACCTTGAGCAATACTTGGAAAACTACAGGATTTTAATGTGAGTAAACTGATGGAAGAGGAATGTAGTAAAAGATTTGCACAGAAAGTAACTGATAACTGATAGATGCTTCTGACCAATTAAATACCAATGATATTGACACCAGGTGGAATGCTTTAAAAAAACAGCTTGGGAAAAGCAGCAGATGAAGTGTTAGGAAAGAGAATAAGTGTGGCTGGTTTGATGCCATCAAGCCCTGACAGCAAAGAAAGAGGCACGAATGAAAATGCTACAATGAGTGACGAGAGCAAGCTGAGATGAGTACTCTGCCAGGAGGAGGAATGCCAAGAAAATCTTCTATCAGAAATAAAGAACATGGCTAAATGTGGAGTTAGAAGAGCTTCAGAATGATCACAGCTCAAAGAATACAAGGAAGTTTTATAAAAGCATTAAGCAAATAAAAAGAGGCTTTGAATTAAGGAACAATTCAGAAACATTCAGAAATGCTCAAAAATGGAGGGGATGATTTAAAAAGATGTATATTCCAATTGGTATGGGATTAAATACCAATGTTAAATGTTTTTGGTTTGAAGAGAGATTGCTTGAAGAGTGGAAAATATCAGTGATATGCCCCATACATAAAAAAAGTGACAAACTATCTTGTGGCAATTATCAAGGGATAGACGTTCTGAATACAGCCTAAAGTTATTCACTATATTATTGAATCGACGGCTGATAAAGTTTTCTGAACTGATAGTGGGCGACTATCAGTGTAGTTTCAGGCCTATAAGATCAACCATCGATCAAATATTCTCATTAAGACAAATTCTTGAAAGAGGATATGAATTTCACATTTACCTTCATAATCTATTTATCGATTTTAAGCAGGCATACTACAGTATTGATAGAGAATTACTGAAGATAATGCTTGAATTCGGAATTCTCAGGAAGTTCTAGGCTAGCAAAAATGACAATGCATGATAGCAGGATGAAGATAAAAATATTGGGAATGCTATCAGAAGAATTTACAGTAAATAGTGACCTGAGGCAAGGAGACCCACTATCGCCTTTCCTTTTCAATTTAGCCTTGGAAAAAGCTATTAGGGCAATACAAACCAACACTAATGGAATAATTTATGATCGGCTCACACCAAACTTGGCATATGCGGATGATGTGCTCATAATGGCAAGAAACACTGCAGCGCTAAGAGAAGCTTTTGAGAAGTTTGAAAGGGAAGCAGCAGAAGTGGGCGTTCATGTAAAGGAAGGAAAAACAAAATATTTAAAAACTTCCAGGCACCAAAAACTGGAATACCATGATCTGCAGATTTTCGATCACAGTTTTAAAAGTACAAGCACGTTTAAGCAATTGAGTGCTGTCATTGCACATGACAACAGCATGAAAGAAGAAGTGAATGTCAGGCTGGCTGCAGGTAACAAGTGCCTTTATGCCATATAAAGAACATTATGGTTTAAAGCTCTTTTTAAAAATGCAAACTCATTATGAAACCATACTGAGACCCATTGTTACGTATGACAGTGAATCCGGGGTATTGACCAGTGGAATTAATAGGAAACTCAATGTCTTTGAAAGAAAAATACTCTGGAGGATATATCGGCCAATAAGAGAAAATGGCACGTGACGGTTAAGTAATAAATACGAGCTCTATGCAATGTATGGCAAACCAGACATTTGTGAAAAGAGCCTGCCTGAGATGGCTCAGACACATGAAAAGGATGCAGGAGAATAGAATTCCAAGACATCTGCTATATAGAAAAATTGGAGGGAAGCGATACAAAGGAAGGACAAGAATGCGATGGTTGGATGACGTTGAAGAGGAGCTCAAGTTACTCTGAGTAAGAAGATGGAGGCAAGCGAGAGACAGGAATGACTGGCTTGGAGTCCTTGATGAGACTCAGGTCCTCAAGACCAGTGTAGGACCATAGCACGCGCCTAGCAGTAAGTAAGTAAAAAGTGTTTGTAAATTTACTGTTTTTATCCTAAAGCTTCCAAAAGATCTGTAAAAATACATAAAACTGCAATAAATAAAATGATATTTCAAAGTAATATCTATACAATTGCTTCATATTCATTATTTTTTGTCTCTCATTTCTACCATTCTTAAGAAAGTTGACATATTTCCTTTATTCTAGGTGTTAGATTCTGCAATAGCAGCTTTTTGCCTGGAGGTGATTGCTAAACATGGAGAACCAGCAGAGAGGCTCTGCAACAAAGACCCATTGACGTTGAAGGCAGCGGACTATCTCTCAGGTTTATTTCCGAATTCTAAATTCATTTTTATGGTGAGAGATGGAAGGGCAACTGTGCATTCTATTATATCAAGAAAGGTGAGTCAGTTATTAATTACATTACTGAATGAAAATATAAGCATTGTCTTCGTTTTTAAAAGGTGTCCGCGTTAAATATAGAATTTTGAATTATTTTTTATTATGATTTTACATTGTATTGCTGTCAGCTCTTTAATCTAACAGTCAAAAAGTTATCTTAGTCTATCTCAAAAACAAAAAGTTTTACAACTATGAAATTATGTATGTAAGGCGAGTACATGCCTGAGATGTTACCACAAATTTTTCACCAGAATTGACTAACCAGAAGTGGGAACTTTTATTAACAATTTTAAACATTTATACAATTTTAACAAAATTGGCTCTGACAATTTTGATTAAACTCATTGCTACAACGTAATATCAAGTGTTCTTTAATATCAGACAGGTGTTATCTTCATTGAAATATTCTAAACTGGGAATAAAATCGAAATACCTGACGTTTCAGGGTCATGGGATCGTTTTTGATAGGATTGATAGCAATGAGGTGCTTGCGATGAACTCTGACCTTCAAGTTGATAATTACAGAGATATATTATATAATCTAAAGATAGACAGGAATAACTCACATAGACCATGTAATGTAGTTAACTGTTATACCGATGGACCCTTGATGAAACAAGGATCAGGGGCTGGATAAACCTAATGAGGGGATATTCATATCTCTAGGTAGATATACGTCTGTCTTTCAAGCCAAGATTCTAGCTATCGACGTCTGTGCTCAATCACTTATAAGGGAGGGCATTGTGAATAGATTGATAACAATATATACAGATAGTCAAGTGGCATTTGGGGCTCTGAATAGTTATGCAATTCGCTCAAAGTTGGTGGATGAATGTAAAGGCAATCTTAACTTTTTTTGTAGTACTAACAAGGTAAGGATAGAATGGGTACCTGGGCACTCAGGCCTTCCAGGAAATGAGAAAGCCAATTGCCTTGCTAGAAAAGGCTCTGCACAATTGCTGGTTACACCAGAGCCCATCTGTGGGATAAGCCTTGGCTTTGCCAAAAGGCATATTGATAAATTTATTAAAAGGCAATCATGGGTAATAAATTTATGGTACATTGGGGACAGACTAGGAAGCAAACTCAATCCAAGTTATTCCTAGTAGGGATCTGTTGTTAGAGAAGTAATTCACTTCTTCTAATGGACAGGACTGTCTATTGGTCACTGTCAATTAAATAAGCACCTTTCCAATTTGGGGTAAGTGAGACCCCCACGTGCAGGATATGTGGCCTGGAGGATGAAGCGGCTTATCACATTATTTGTTGAAATGATAATTTGGCTAGACTGCGATACTTCCACTTTGGATGTGATCGTATCACTGACCCTAAACACTGCAAATTGATTGATCCTATTAGTATCAATAGGTTCACAAAGGCATCAGGCATTTTAATTGAGTCTAGGACAACAAACAATAGACCTTTTTGAGGCCACGGTGTACTTTTATGTCAGAGCTTAAAAAAAAAAAATAGGCAATTCAAGCTCATAAATATCTTGAAAATTATAAACAATACGAAAGAAATGAATATATACTTTCTTAAAGTTATTCCTAGTAGGGTCCTGCTACAAGAGAAGTAAATCACTTCTTCTAATGGACAGAAGTACCATAAGGCATGTGACTGGATTGTACACTGGTCACTGTCAACTAAATAAGCCCCTTTTAAATTTGGGTATAAATGAGACCTCCACCTGCAGGCTGTGTGGCCTGGAGGATGAAACAACCTATTACATTATTTGTAGATCTGATAATTTGGCTAAACTGTGATACTTTCACTTTGAATGTGATCGTATCACTGACCCTAACCACTGCGAACTGATTGATCCTATTACTATTAATAGGTTCGCCAAGACATCTGGCTGTCTTGACAGTGAGTCTAGGACAACACACAATAGGTCTTCTTGAGGCCGCGGTGCACTCCTATGTTAGAAAAAAAAAGACCTGTGAACATATACTGATTGACAATGTTTAGTTTTTGCTGGTTTGAGCAAGCAAGAGTCTACCAGTTTATTAAGATTTTCATTCAACTTGGTCGTCAAATCTTCATTGATCTGTTGCTCTCCCAAGACATCCCAAATAATTGATCATGTCTCCATTCCATTCCATAAAAACATTTTTGAAAGCTAACCTATATCAAAATTCAATTAGTGACTTTTTGCAATAAACCAGTGATATATGGCCTTTTTGTAGCATAATTTCAATTTAAACCCATTCCAATGATTCTTTTCATAATTCAACTTCAACATTCTTAAATAAAATTATAAAATTACAAAAATTGACCTATTATCCGTTTTTTGAAAATGACAAATATCCATCTTTGATATGAAGCCACTCATATATAAATATATATCTACTAACATTAAAGTATATCTACTAGTAAGGAAAGTATTGCAATCGGGTCAAATTTCCGATATGCGGTTTTCGACGGATCTATACGTTTCAGAGCCCTCTGAGTCCAGAAAAACACATCTTTAGCCTATCGTTTGAAAAGTAATAAATTTCCCTACAAAGCCATATAAAAATCGTTCATTTTGGACAACTATTAACGAAGTTACAGCTATTCAATTTCCATTGTAAGATTACGGGTACATATCCTGGTGTCAGAAAGGGGTGAATGAGAGAATAGAGATGACTAAGTGAAAGTAAGAAAATCTGTTGCTCGCATCACACAAGCTTCACTATTTCCTCTACTTTTAACAGAAATTATTGTTTGACAATACTAAGCTATGGCAAAAAGTTTTTGATCAACAATATTAGTGAGTATTGAAATTTTTACACCTACCTTAAGCTGATTTACATTGCTTTAGTTTATCAAATAAATCGTACTCAAATCTTTTGTTTGATCAATTTTCATGAAAATAAATCTAGTTCAATTCTTTTTTGTTTCTTCATGAACATAGGTAAAGATATAAAAACTTTTCTGAAATAGGTAGGAAAGTCATGTGAGTGGACACACCAGATATTTTAATTTATTTCATATAAGATGATTTAGATAAAGCTTAGAATTTTTACTAACGATCTACTATTACATTCTATTGATTTAAATTCACATTTTCTTTAATATTTTGAACCCAGCCAAATTTGTTTGTATGGTAATTATTTATTTTATATAAATATGTTATACCATCTATTATTTTTACTTTCGCTTCCTTATAAATGATTCTACATATTTCTACTCAAGGTAAGAAAGTAAAAGTGAAAGTTGTGTGGTGTGACCACTTCATCTGATATTTTTTCTTAAACTTATTTTGTTCAACATATGTACAATATATATGGAATTAATGCATTAAAAAAAAACCTATTAAACATCCTTCTTTTTTTTCAGGTTACTATAACAGGGTTTGATTTAACTAATTATAGGCAGTGTATGGGAAAATGGAACGATGCAATAAAAACAATGTATGAAAAGTGCGCCAGTGTAGGACCCAACAGGTGTATGATAGTTTATTATGAACAATTAGTGCTTCACCCGCATGCCTGGTTATCTAGAATACTCGACTTCTTGGAAATTCCTTGGGATGACTCGGTGCTTCATCATGAAGATCACATAAACAAGCCGGGTGGAGTTCAGCTTTCAAAGTAAGTTTTTATATAATCTATCTACTAAATTTTTTTTTTTTTAAACACTTTATTGAGAAATATTACAATTTGTCACAGTCAAGGACACTTATAATTGAGTTCAGAGAGTACAACCAAATATATGATAAGATAGTATAGATTGCTTTTTTGACTGTCAGCAGCGATGAATTATGACAAACAAGAGGTTAAAAGAAAGGGAATATCATGGAGAGGTGACAAATTCTAATTCAGATCTTCATATTTGTAATATCACTGTACCACTACTTTGGCAGTAGTAAGTTGACCAATTGAGGTGGTATAAGCTGGGTTTCAAAAATTGTATGATGTACACCAAAATGTAGAGAACTTACTGATCCATATATTTTTAAGGCTCAAAAATTTACTATTTTAGAGTTAACACACTGAACCACCCTAATTCTAGTGAAAGCTTCTAGATGCCACAGTTGCCATATCACATATCGTTTAGGTTTTTACAAGTTAAAATATCGCTGTCTATTTATAGTAAATTAAAAATCTATAGATAACGTAAACCAACAGAATCGTGCTGAGACCCATTGGATTCCTTTGATAATATTGAAACATTTTAATGAAAATGAACGTCTTTTGTGGACATATTTTAATTTTCTTGGTTTTTAACATTGCCATAGTTGTGATAATATTCTTATCTAGGTCTGCCTTCTACATATATTAAAAATTTAATAAATGAGAAAACAACATACGAAGGATCCTGCTCTACTGAACCTATCCAATAGATCTTAGTGAATACAGTACTGGGTTAGTAAGAGTTTATAGATAACTGAGTCTTATTGCTTAATAAGGGATATTTTCTGATGGGATTAGCTAATTAATTATTAATTAAACTGCTATTTCAACATTGTCATTGTGAAGTGTGGAATTTCGCCAAATGTGTTTGTTGAATAAACTTTCTTGGTAATATTATTATGTTTATACTGATAAAAATGTTTTCTTACTATAGCTTATACTTTGAATGTATCAGAGGAAAAGCATTTAATTTTAATATTCCACAGGAATTGTCAAAAAAACTCATTTTTAATATGTGAATTAAAGAAAAAATATAGATATCATAGATAGATAGATAGATAGATATTGTTGATGTTGAAATTGAGTTGTTTCTGTATTTTAAAAGAAATTTTATCAAGGAAAAAATCATCCTATTCCTCTACTGATTTAAAACAGTATATAAAAATTGTATCAGTTATTATAAGTAGAAAAAGAAATTCAGAGGAAATTTTTCTTTAAAAGAAAATCAGACGAAAAGAAGATTATGAAAATCTGAACTTAAATATTCTATTATCTATTTTTGGATTATGTTTTGTCAATTTATGTTAGTCGTATGTTAATATATATAAAACTTCTTGCCTCTTTGTTTTATTTTCTTAATTCATATTTCATTTATTGGTTTAGGAATTATATGTTTAATTTTTTTTTGTAGAGTTGAACGTTCATCGGATCAAGTTATAAAACCAGTGAATGTTGAAGCATTGACCAAATGGGTCGGACAAATCCCAGGTGATGTGATTAGAGATATGCCCAACATCGCTCCAATGCTTTTGAAGCTTGGCTATGATCCCACCGCTAATCCACCCAATTATGGATCTCCTGATAGTGTGGTAGCCGATAATACAAGAAAAGTTCAGGAGAACTCTATTTTGTGGGCAGAGAAGGCACAACAGTTACTATCACAGGTTCGAAAAATATTTATATTATTATGATTACCAATGATTAGATGTTCTGATGGTTACATACACCGGTGTAACTTGTAAGAAGTGTCATGGAGCAGTATCGGCTTGGTATAAGCTCCCTCTTCCTCACTTCCTTTCAAAATCAGAGCTTCCCTTTCTTCTGCATTGTGCAAATTTTGATTAATGCTGCAAATAATCCTTAATTAGTGGAGGTCTACAAGTTGAAAATAAACTTGTAAAAATAGGCCAAAAAAAAAAAGATAGCTTGAAATAATTATTGATACAAAAAACTTCCTGTAAAAAAAACAAAAGAGTATAAAATTAAAATAAACTCTAGTTACCAAATTTTCATTAAATTTTTATACCATAATTAATGTTGAGTTTTAATAACTATCTTTTAATTATTTATGTATTTATTTACATCCCTACCGTGTCTGAAAGGCAATATGGGTTTTGGTAGCATTGAGATATTGGGCATGTCTGCATAGCATCACACTGCTGCCAGATAAACAATATTAGAGCTTTCATGAGGTGGGATAAAAACATTGCTTGATCGTATTTCTTTAGGTTTGGCCATGGTCTTCCTCTGCTCCTCCTCTGTCTGGCAGCCTTCCAGCTGTTGCAACTCCTCTTCTTTCCAAGGATAAATGAGTTGGGCCTATAATTGATTTACATCCTGATACAAAATCTTTGAAGTGCGTATAGTTTTCTGCAACACATTAGCTGAGGGATATCGCTCTCTGTCAAAATGTAGAGATCGGATTCCCTCAGTAGTTTGGCTCTCAAAGCCTCATAGGCAGTACAGGCTGCGACTACGTTTTGGGCTGTCTCTGGTACTTCACAACTGTGGCACAAGGGGTCGATATTCTATCCAAATTGAAAGAGCTTTGGTAGGAAGTCCCTGTGTCCAGTGGGTACTTGGGAGACCCAATAACCAGGTTCTACCCATTTTGCTACTAATTGGGAACCAATGGTATACAAATATTTCCTCAGAGTACTTCCTTTTAGGGTTGTTACCCATCGCCGGTTCTATCCGTCAAGGGTGTATTCTCTTATTACCTTTTTCCATTTGCCTGGTTCTTGATTAATCTTCACACGGAGATCCTCTGGTCGATCTGCGGAGCCTTATCTTAACAACTGATGCTTGAGCAAGTCTTCTTGCAACAGGAGGTAGAAAAGTACTCCTTTTACCAAGACCTGCACTGCCTCATAAGACACTGTCCTGTACGCTCTAGTAACTCACAGCAGAGCCATCTGCTGAATTGACCCCAACCTGCTCTTCTAGTGATGCGAGAGATTCAGATTCCAGCCAGGGAACGCGTACCTGAAAATATCCAGAACTACACCTTTATAAATGGTTGAAGTTGCTGGTTACCCGAGACCCCAAAAGACCCCACCAATACCACTGAATCCATTAAGAGCTAGGTTCACCCTACTTCTCAAATAGTCCAAGTGAGATGTCATGTTGAAATTTCTTCCAATTCTAAGACCAAGTTATGTGAAAACCTCAATTGGACGTATTCTTGCTCCTTGAAAAATCATAGTAATAGGGTGAGCCCTGTTGGTTCTGCATATCAAAAGGATGGCTTGTGTTTTAGCAACTGTCATCCTTTGTTTCATTCTCTCGCACCATCTTCGCATCAGGTTGGCCCACCACTGTGGTCACCACAACAGCTGTGGTTGGTTACCGCTCTTCTTCGAGCACTCCTAGCAACTCATTGAATACTAGTTTCCACAGAGTGGGGCCAAGGACAGAGCCCTGTGAGCAGCCTCTTTCCATGATATCTTCTACTTTTATTTGTAACATTCTGTCCTGAAGATAACTTCTCATCAAAGTGTACAAGTTGCTGGAAGTTTCATAGCTCTGCAGCTGATGGAGTAGGCTTGGCCACTATTCGCTGTTGAAGGTTAAGTCAAACAAGAGTATCGTAACATAATTCTCTGCCTTCTCTTCAACATCATGGCCTGCTATCAGGAGAGCATCTACAGTTCCCCTGCCTTTGTTACATCTGTACTGCTGTCTATGGGATGCTATTGAAAAAACAGGCTATAAGCTCATGACCATCAGGTTCTCCAACACCTTACTCATAACAGGAAGGAGAGAGATAGGTCTATAAGACTTTATCATTTGTTTATCCTTGTCTCCTCAATTTTCCACTTTGTTTTAAATTATACTCTGTCTAAGCAATCATTAAAGATAGCTAGAAGCTGATCTTCAATATAGGGGATACAATTTTTGAGGATTGCCGTGTCAATATTGTTAATACCATTGATGTCAGTTGTCAACATTAATTTGAGATCAAAGGGCAATTATGTTTACACAGTGTTTGTGGATCTGAGGAAGGCCTTCAATTATATTAACCAAAACTTGCTGTGGAAAAGGCTTTTTTCTCTCGGGATGGGAGGAAAACTAGTTAGACTTCTCAAAAAACAATATGATGCTTCATCGATGTGGATAAAGCTAAAACATGAGCTTTTGGAAGAGAATGGTATCTTCCTGCTCCTGCTTCAAGGGGAGAGTCTTAGTCCTGCATTGCACAAAGAAACATCAATATACTGATTGAGTATTGTAAAAAAAAATCTTTAACCCTAAATCTAGCTGTCTAAGGTGTGTTGGTGTTTCACAAATCTCCAAGGATGAAGAAACTTAAAACTTTAGTTTGACGAAACATAAGTCTGGAATATACAAGGAACTACTCATATCTGGAAAATTCTAGCAAGCCGAAGAACATTTCTTGCAAAGATCGTCTGTTGCAGCTATCAAAGTAATGACAATTCTAAGAAATGGAAAAAGTTACTCTTGGGAGACCAAAACGAGCCTCTTTGAATCAATAGTCTCGTCTACACTGCTCTATGCTGCAGAGATCTGGGGCCCAAAATACTTGGAGGTTTTGGAGAGAACATAAAATTCGATTTATCAAGTCATGGATCCATTGGCCAAGAAATACACCTAACTATGTTGCTCGCCTTGAAACTGGAAGATCTCCATTAAGCGTTGATGTCTTAAAAAAATTAGTCAATTATTGGACCAAGCTGAGCTTAAAGAGCAACGATAGCCTGCCTAGACAATGCTTTAATAGGCTTAGAGCTCTAGATATTACATCTGAATATAAACCTGAAGATACATCTGAAGGAAAACCTGATCCAGTTTATAACTGGGTTACCCAAATAAAAATGATTGTGGCAGAACTGGGTTGGCAGGAACTGTTCTCATGTGTTTTATCCTAAGGTCTGATGAGGTTTAAAAATGAAATAATTAAAAAAATGAGGAACCATCACGCATCCAAGAACATCGGCAGAGTGTTAAATACTACATCAAACTCAAGATATAAACAAATCTGCTCCTTTAATACCATCAGTCCAGAAGACTGTCTGCCGTTCAAGGCTCTAAATTTGAACAAACTAAGAGCAGTCAGTCGCCTCAGAGTGGCAAGCAATGAATTTGTAAAAATATAAATAAAAGATACTTCCCTCAATATTGAATCTAACAAAGTATGTAACTGCCTTGTGACTGACCCGATGCCTCATATTTCAATTCACTACAGCAAATTTGTTGAACCTAGAAATAAGTTCTTAAAGAAATTTATTGTTGAATCGAGGGATGACATTATAGTATGAGATATATTGAAGATGGACAGTGTCGGAGAATTAAATAAGTATATTATTTCATAAAAGAATGCTCAATAAACTGTTAAGTAATATAATTAATCACTATATAAAAATGTTAATGCATATTTATATTGTTATATATTTAATACCTATAAAATATTAATAAAAAAAAAAATTATTACTAAAAAGTTGTTTTTCTAATTATTTATTTATATTTATTGTTGCTAATTCGTTATGAGTCATATTTAATGCTACAAATTGTGTTAATGATATATTTGAACACAGAACTAGACTCAAAATTTTAATACTTTTCATAATATCTATGTATTTATTTGTACAGATATTTCTTTGGCAAATAAAAAAAAAAAAAATTGACTAAAAAAAATATTGTTAATACCGGGGGTACGACCTAGCCTTTGCCCATCCACAGCAGTACGGAGATCCCATATATCCCATGGTGGGCGTAAGTCTGTATTGGCTGGGCATACCTTAGAGCGTCTTACAAAGGCATCGTCTTCTCCATCTTCGGATGGGTCATCTCTGGGGTAGGTTTCTGCAAAGAAAGTCTGCAGCGTCTCCTCCAGCATGGTTGCTTGGGCATCTAAACTCTTCGATGCTGCATCTAGCTGTTGTGGACACACCTTTCCGAGGGCCATTCTGTATGGAATACCCCAGAGGTTCTTGGATGATTCCCTGACAATAAACTTATCCCAAGACTTCTGCTTTCGTGGCCGCAGCTCGTTTTGGTATGTCCTGAGTATGCTTATGTATAAATCGTGCATAACTAACAATATTCTTATTCGTTTTTGAGCCTTATAGTTAGTTTTTCCTCCACAATCAAACTGTTATAATTTTTTAATAAAAATACCCATCCATATTGTGTTTTTATCTTGTGATTTGATGTTGAAATGATTATGGCTATAAGTTGTATTTATTTGGTATAGATATAAATTTGTTTGTGCCCCTTCTAGTACAGAAGCACCAGTACGGTGCCTAGAGCGAATCGCAACTGCTTCATGGTAGTTATTCCACTGGTAACAGTGACTCTATGTAATTATAATATAAAATAAAATGTAATTATAAATCTTATAAATTACTATAAGATTTGTTAATTCTTTTATTTTTTTAAAATATCATCATCATCATAGTGGATGCTACAACCCATCACCTCTCTGAGGGCATGTTCCGAACTTACAGGGATATCAAAGTCGTCTGGTTATCCCAACAGCTGAATCGTGCAATTAATTATAGTGGCCCGAGACTGTATGCCAAAGTGTCTCCTTGTCTCAGGTCTTCTGCTTCGAATCGAACGGATCCTGGCAATACTTAAGAAATGATCTGAATCCAGATTAATTCCCCTATAGACTCAATTCCTGTGTTTATCTTCCTTGATATTCGTGAACGGATTTTGGCAATATCTGGAAATGATCTGAATCCACATTAGCTCTACTATAGACTCGAACGCTGATAACCCTGGATTAATAACGTGAGTTTATCAGAATGTGGTCAGTTTGGTTAGCAATCAATCCATTTAGTGATTTCCAGGTGGATTTATGAATTGGCGGAATGCAGAGCTTACGAAACATTTAGACTCTCTTGTGATTTGACAAACGATCTACACTCCATTTTACAGGACAATACGAATGAGGTCGATAAACTGTTTTCTTTTCTGAAATGTTCTAAACTTGAGCATAGAATCTAGTTCTAAATGAAAATAAGGCAATAATGACCCTACTGGTTGAAGCCTTAAAAAAAAAAAAAAAAAATATTTACCTATCAATTTAGACCTTGCAAAATTTTTTGTTATATCTTTTTTTTGTTTAATTTTTTTTCTTTATAAACTGTATTAAAAAAAAGGACTGTTGGTGTTGGGTGAATATTTGAATATTGTTCCTCTCAACTGCATTTTCCAGTCAGTTCCTTGTCAGGATGGTATGCCTGTCATCCTGAGGTCCTCTGCCACCTAGTCCTTCCACATTCCTTTTGGTCTGACTCTGTCTCAGGTTCTCTGATACAATGCCATGGCTGTTTGCCCATCATCCTACCTAATTATATACCCTCTTGATAGATCTTGCTCAAAATTGGAAGCTTTAAGATCATCGTATACATTGGAGATCTCTATATTTTTTCTTCTTTGTCAAAAGGATAAATTATCTGTGAATCTCCATAACGATGTCATAGCATTTGTGCAATCACTATAAAGATTGGAACTTTAAATTATTATTCTTTGAGGTTTTTGTGCTAAATGACTTTTTTTTAAATGTTTAGGCAATGACAAAGCTGTACTGTAGTAATGAAGAAGTAAAGCAATGATTAAGTTCTCTCTGCTCAGAGTTCAATGGTATTCACCTAAAGTGGGTAAAAGAGATTCTGACAACTATGTCCTAAAGCCTATTTGATATCTTCATTGTCAGCGATTCTGATATATAGTGAGGGAGTATCATCTGGGCCCTCAGGCACCCGGCGACGATGACTATCTATAATGGACTAGTACTGACTATCCTGAGGTACGGATCTCCAAGCCAGGATTGCGGCAGACTCATCTAAATGGGATAGAATAATAGAAGAGGACATCATTGAGCATTGGAATTGACAGTGGCTAACTACTTATAAAGGCCTTACAAAAATACTTTCCTGCTGTCTATTCAAGGTTGGAAGACAAATGAGTCCTCCCTGATTATTGGGTATCACAATAACCCAAAGGTTTTGTGCCAAGCTTCATGCCTTAGAGAAAGAAATTAACTCCCTATATCACTAGTGTGGTGTTCCGGAAACTGCTGAGCATGTTGTTATGACCTGCACCCCTTTTGAAACAATAAGGGACAAACAACTACAGCATCATCTAGGACATACTGCAAAGCTTTCGTGCATGGCTGGAACGAATTAGTAGATGATCATTTCAACCTCCTCCAATGAATTAGAAGAGAGAACAATTAGAGAATAAGTGGTAGAAGTAATGTGAGACTTCTATCAAATATTTGTGTTGCTAAGAGGCATGGGAGAATGGAAATAAATCATACAGAGTAATGATTAAAGAGGATATTTAATATTACTTCACATGCACATCAAAGCTATGAAATACCATGATAGTCAAGAAACTGAAATTGTTCCCCCTTCTTGTGTATTTTACATATTACCACATTAACTGAACAACTACAATTTTGATCATAGGACTTTTGAAACAAAATATGATAATGTGAACAGTTTTTTTTTTTTTTGTTCTTTAGGTATTGTTACATATTATTCACAAAGAACTTACATAATTATTTCCAGTAGATGATATTTTTAAAAATAAATTACTGCTTCTATTAATATATTTTTAACCAAAACGAATATGTTTTTTATTATTTTTTATATTGTTTCTTAATATTTACAATGTATTAATAATTAATTAATTCAGTTCCAAATAGTAGTTGAAATTGTTTACCTATATATCCACATATGTGTATATACGATTCTTACTTTTTTCATTGAAGAAGTAGGGTATATTTTGCTGAAATGCATTCCTATTGTAGGAACCAAGGGAACGGGAAATATGGGAAAATCCAGAAAAACCCGTGACGGGATCATACACCTATGAAGTTTAAAGTTTGAAAGTTCATTGTTCACATTGATATCTTACGAAGAGTTATAAAATTCACTCGAAGAACTATCAGTAGGTAACATTTTGTTCGTTGGCTGGTTAACGCACTTTACAGGTTGAGTAAACTGATAGAAAACCTAGCACCTGAAAGCACAATATATTAAATCATAAACAATGTTAATAGCAAATAATAAATCAAATCTTTATTTTGTTTGTATTATTTATCGAAAGAAAACAAAATTAATCTCTATCGAATTCTGATGTTCGGTTATTATATTTATGTTATTAATATAATCTATTAATTAAAAAATATAAAATATTTGGATCTTTTTTTGTTATCTATTATGTATAATAAAGCCCGCTACAAATGAGGGAACCCGGTTGTGGGCTTGGCTCTCCACACACACTGGAGGTAAATGCCAACACTACAGTTTGTGCAAAATCATTCTTCTCTGAGTACAGCGGATATGAATTGTTTGATAGCAACTATCATTGTCTTGGTTGAGTTGGGTGTTTTCAAAAGAAAGCTGTGCAAATAGACCAAGCTGTTGCCTGATACAGGAAAATGGTCTCACATTAACATTTAAATCATTTTAGGGAAAGCATTGTGAAGGGTTATTGAAGCTATTTAAGAATATGTTGAATTAAATAAATTATCAGAAATAGTGTCAGCATCAAATCAAGATATTGAACGATAAAATGGACAACAATTGTTCATACTCTCCACCCTGAGGTGAACAGCCATAGCACTGTCGAAGAATTGGGAATTGTTCTAAACTGAAGGAATGAAATATATTCATTCCATCATTCCAAATACACAAAGGCCAAAAATGGCTAACTTGAACTGGGTTCCCATGTTTGTGGCTAAATTCAATAAAAATCATGCTAGATTTATATTCTGCAGTAAAACGATGTGTTTATGCTAATAACCCTTTTCAAGTTCAAATACATCTGCCCATACCGCTTTATTTTAAAACTGAATTGTCTTTTGGAACTTCTTTTTCTCTTAAAAATATTTATTCTTCCCCTTTACTGCTTGATCATTTACCAATTTGAAAAGTTATTTCAAATCAATGTTAAGACTATTTTCATTGCTTTATTTTTTACTAATAATATTAAATCAGTCTGAACAAATTTTATAATCTCTTTAAAAGTGCTAATTAGTTCTGTATAGTAAAAGATATTTTAATGTTTTGATTTAATCAAAGTATTTCTATGATGAATCATCTTGTATCCTTAATTGGATTCAATAATAATATTTCATGTCAAAATGATCTGTCTAACGATTTATAATATTAATTTGTAATTAATTCTTATTAAAAAAAAAAAATACATACCTATAGTTCATTTCTTTACTTATTTATGATTTGAAAAAAAGTTATGGCATTATGTGTTGGTTTTTATTATTTGATATATTGATTGGGAAATTTGAAATTTTATTGGTTTGATGTGATATCTTGTATTTTTACCTTAAAATAAACTTTACTGTTTTATGGTTTTGTTAATTTCATTTCCTCAAGTTTTTAATTTTAGCATGCATTAAAACTCGATTTTGTGATATTCAGAAAAATAAATCGTAGATTTTTTTTTATTGAATATAGAAAATCAACAATATCTTATTGTAGTAAAAAAATTTTTATGGTTATGAAGAATCATTATTTTGATGCACATCCCAATCACAATGTTTCTGTCTTATCACATGAATTATCCAACTTTACTTCCTTATCCTATGATAATCTTTAATTACTTAATTTTTTATTTATAAATAATTTTACAAGTTTGTAATATATATTTATGTTTACACGATATTACTCATCTGCACGATAGATCCGTAAGTCTTATAATTGAATCATCTGAAACACACACCTATTATTTGAATTCAATTTCAATATATTACTCTGATAATTGTGGATTTATGGTTGACTGTAGTGAATAATTGAAGAGAAAGTTGGTTGGGGTGATCAGTCAAATTAAAGTGATAAAAATAAATAAATTTATTTATTTTTACATTTGCCGACATTTCGGCCTGAAGTTCAGGCTTTCATCAGGGCTGGGAAAAGAACCAGAAAACAATAGGTATAATAACATTGAATAATACGGAATTAAGATTAAAAAAGGTGAAAGGTATAGACTAATAATTATAGGCAGAAAAACTTAATGTAAAATGAAGTAGATAGAATGAACATTAAAGTAAAACAAAGTAGTTTACTTTAATGTTCATTCTATCTACTTCATTTTACGTTAAGTTATCTACCTACAATTATTAGTCTATACCTTTCACCTTTTTTGATCTTAATTCTGTATTATTCAATGTTATTATACCTACTGTTATCTGGTTCTTTTCGCAGCCCTGATAAAGGCCTGAACTTCGGGCCGAAACGTCGGCGAATGTAAAAATAAATAAAATTATTTATTTTTACCATTTTAATTTGACCATCCTCCTCTTCTATTACTTTGATATATGCTCATAAAGCTAAAAATGTTTTGTATTTATGTATTAGTCAACAAACTTCTTCATTAATATCAAATTATTTATTTCTACGATTTTATTTTTTTCACCTGATTTTACTTTGAATTGGTTACTCATTTTTTAAACAAATTTTTGGAGCGATTTTTTATCCCAAAACACATAAACATATAAAATTTTCTTTATTTATATTTTTTGTAAAATTATTTGACAATATCTTCTCATTTAGACATTTTTTTTATTTTTGTTGGTTAAGATTTTTATTGGTGAAAGCAGTAAAAAATCTTTTTTACATATTATTCCTTTACTATGTACATATTATTTCTTAATATAATGTTACTCATTTACAGGGTCAGGACATTGAGAAAAACGCAAACCCACCAGATGAAGATCTGAGCACCCCTGCGTGATATGAATCAGTTATTGTTTTTGGACCAATTTGATTTTTGTGTATTTCATATTATTTTGATGATGAATGACTTTTTTTTTTGGTTATTTAATTGTATATATAAATTTAAATATATATGTATGTGTGTGGAAATTTTATGTAAGTATGCTTGGATAACAAGTATACAAAACCAAACATTGTATTCTCTGGTTTATTTCCAGAAGTTATGATATACAAGTTGTAAATAGTTTTGTGGGCATGTTGTATTAAGAAATTAACTCGAAACTACAACATTCCTTTGTTACTTTGTGTCTACTTCTTGGCTCTGTGATATATATATTATTATACTTTTTAATGTATAATGTTCTATTTTTCATCTTTTAAATATTTTTAATTTTTTTTTTTTTTGTTGCGTAACAAAAACTAAAATAAACTTGGGATTTATTAATTTTAGTTAATATTTTGTTGTGTACTTTTTGTGTGTCCTTCTGATTATAGTAATTTATTTTAATAAATATATTTTTCGAATCTTATGTTTCTTTGCGATGCTGCGAGTCAAATGACATTTACCATTGTTGTATATACATGCTATAAGAAACTAGCATTTCTCGTTTTTATGAATTTAATTTTGCTGCATGTCGATTGGTTTGTGAGTCATGAAGGATTGTTAGTTTTTATTCATTGATGTTTTTTTTAATTAAATCTTCATCCTCATGCTAATGCAACAAATGAAAAAATTGCATTTTTTGAAACAATTTATTATTTTATCAGAAGTATTTTTGCAAAATAACATCTTAAAAAAAAGCTAGGACTCAGAAGTAAAAAGGCCCAGAGATAATAAAATTATTTGCAATGGAGAAATTAAAATTAGAATGTAGAGTTCTTGGTAGAATGTATTTTTTTTTTATCAATTTCTGTGAGATATTTTCATGTTGTTCTATCACAGCAATTGTTAATCTTGTTGTTATTTTGTTGATATTGTTACTTTCTAAATCTTTACAACTCAGCCAATAAATACTTATTTGGGTTTATATCTGGAATTCCTGATAGAACTTCTAAATCTAAGCAAAGAACAGTTTCCAGGTATTAGCAAAGGATGGATAAGATAAAAAGGATGCCATCTTTTTGTTCTCCACTCAGCTTACATTTGTTTTATCTTTTTTTTTAAATTAAAATTTCTTTTAAAATGAATAAAATATTCACTTTAATATGGAATGATTGGTATTATTAAAAATTATAATATTTTTTCTATTATAAAACTATTTCTGTAAAATGAAAATTTAATTTGTCCCTTATTGATTCAATAATGTCTACGTTATCATAAATTTGGAGATGATTTTTAATGTTATTTTCATTTAATTTATTTTTAATGATTTACAAAATAAACAATGAACAGCATTATAGAAACAAAAATTATGCATGTGTGATTGCTTCTTGGTTTTTAATACGCAAAAAACTCTGAATATGGAATAAAGCTCAAAAATATACCTTTTTTAAAAAAATATTTTTGTTAATGTTCAAATTGTAATTATCCTCTATTATATAATAATTTTTAAATACTTGGTATGACGTTAATAAAATAAAACAATTAAGAAGCCTATATTTTATTAACTCCTAATAAATACAAAGTAATAAAAAAAATTGAAATGTTATTATTAATTTTGTGAATTTGAAACCATTTGTTTTGTTGAAGGATCACATTTGCTTTGATCGTTAATGTCTTCTGCCCTTTCATGGTGTGTTTCAATTACTAGCTAAAGATTTTTTTTTTTTAACTAAGTTTTAAATTTTGAAAAAAACAACTGAATTCTTTTTAGTTATATTTGTCAGTATACACTCTTGTAAAATGTAAAATCTTTCCTCTTATCATTATTCACCAATTCTAAGAAAGTAAATTTTTATTTCTTTTGTTTTCAGACGTTTGAGTTTTATTGAATTTAGATTAAGACAAGAAAAAGGAACTTGTAAGCTGAGATTAGACTTATTATTATAATGTTTATTTTAAATAATCAATCATAATTAATTAAATTTAAAAGAGTGTAAAATCATGAAACTGCACAAAGAGATAGCGGAATTCCACAAAATGAATGTGTATCAGAGATGGGCAAATGCTACTCTGAGTACTGCGTACCAAATATTTTACTCAAATACTGACCTTTTTCGAGTAACAAAGAATTCAATTACTACTTCATTTGATGTCAAACAATTAACAAACTAGTGATTAAATTCCCAATAGTTATTCAATTTGAGTAAAATACTTGGTACTCGATACTCAGAGTAGCATTTGTCCATCTGTGATGTTTATTGAAGGGGGATTATGGGAAGAGATTATTAATTACAAGATCAAGAAGAGATGTCTCTTTAAATAACATCTGCATTGAAAGGAATAGACAGCAATGCATTGAAATGTTTTGTTCAATCAAAGCAGGAAAAGTTCAATATGGTGGAGAATTACTGTTATTTTAGTATATAACTTGAAAAGTACTTTTACAATGTTAAAAATGTTTATGAAAATCCTATTTCCTTGTACCACTGTAGTTGCATGTATCTGTTCTTTGACAGGACAATGTAGGTGGTCAAAACAGGTGAATTATAATGTGAATATTCTAAGCGGCATGAATTGAAAAGTATACAACAGTCTACTACCTAACGGGCAAGTTGTAAATTCAACTAAAATGTATACTGTTTTGATCAAATCATTATATACATAGATGTATAAATATATTTTTGTACAAATAGTAAATAAATGTGTATAAGACCAAAGTATTAATTAGCAATTTTATGTTTATTTCCTGATGACTTAAGACTTGTTTATAATTTATTTAAATTGTAACTGTAAACATGATGCTTATTAAAACCTGTTAGCTTCTTTACTTCATTTATTTTTCTTATTATTTTTAATAAATGTTTTTAAATTGTTAGATCCAGACAGTTACTTTTATATTTGATTTTTTTTTCTCTTATGTATTAATAGTCAGCATAAATAGCTAACAGGTTAAATAATTATTGGCTTATTGAATTTATTATTTTAGTTCATATTATTTTTTATTTAGTTTTATAAATTAAATGTTTACTTTATTACATTTTGAGGTAACGTAATTTTTGGTTACTTGGTTTTTATGTTTATGTACTTAAAAGAAAACATTCTAATTTATTGATGCACTGCATTTTGCCTATTAACATAGTTTGGGATTGAAGAACAGGAATTTTGCACATAATGTATTTATACTCATGACTTATGTTAGTTTTATTTTGTGGCCTACCTATTAGGTTTTATTTTCTTAAAATAAAGACAGTGATTAGGTTATAAGAAAATGGATTTTTTATTTTAAAAACATTTTATGTTTTTAAATCTATGTATTGTTCCCGTTATACTTATAGCTACTTAACTGTAGTTTTTTATTTAAATTCATTTATTTGATCTAAAAATCCAGTGAAGTATTTCTACAAATAGGTTTTGTAAGACAATTTTTTAAAGGCATGAAAAATTGAATTTATTCAGATTTATTATTTTACATTGAGAGCATTGTACATCCTGATTTGTATTCCCATGAATTTTTTTTTTTTTTTTTTGTTATTTTAAATGACATTTTAATGAAATGATTTGAAAGCTATATAATATTTTTGTATGAAAATAAGTTATTAATCAAATTATGGTTGATCTTCTATATATTGAACTTAAGAAAAATAAAAGAAGAAATCTTTTCCCATAAAATTTATAATTTTTTATCATTGGTATCTGTATTTATGCGGTAAATATTAAAAATAATTGCATTATTGCATAATCACATGTCTTTTTTTTAATCTTATTTGTTTTTACAATTCTACATAAATACTTATTTAATTTCATATATATGAAATTGTTGTTGGGTGTCTAGAAATTTTCTTTGAAAATATAATATAAAGCTCCTGAAAATAATTACACGTGTACTCACAATGTATGAAATTTTGATATCGTTACCATCAAATTTAAATAAGAACTGTGAAAAATCACACTTTTGGAACTAATTTTCCAAAATATTTTTGCAAGATAAAATCTCATGAACATAAATGTTAAATGCAAAAAAAGACAAAGAGCTAGAAATAAAAAAAAATTCTTAAGTCATGAAAAGACAGTGAATTTTTTTTTTTAATTTTGATATTTTGAAAAGTAGCTATTTTTACATTTCTTAGTTTAACATGGTGGCATTATGGTATATGAGCACAACTGTACTCTGAAAGTGATTTTTATGATCAAAATAATTTTTTTAAATTATTTCCACTTACAAAATATCAAATTATAAGCCAAAAATCTGCTTCAACACCCATAGTACTAATGAGGTTTTAGTCTTATCTTAATATATTTTCACTTACGAATGTATAAAATTCTAGAGTTTATTTTATATTTTGGAAAATTGGAACATCATTGTTGTTTATTAAAAGTTTTTGATATTTACCTCATTTAAAGAGTATTTTTGCTAACATAAAACATTTGACTTTTTATTTTTTGTTCTAGTTGAATTATTGTATCTGTTTTAATTATCCTTATGCTTCATATTCCGATGAATTTAATTTTTAAAATTAAATATTAATTTTGTCAAAAATATATAATATTACAGTAGATACAATAACATAACAATTACACTGATTTGAATATTGACTGTTAATTTATCTTTAAAACTATTTAACAAGATGTTTTTTTAGTTTAAAATATTGTATTTATTTTATACCATATAATTTGAATACATCACAAGAGTGCTTATGCGTGAAACATAAATATAACAATGTAAATATAACATCGTACATGTTTGAAAATATGTCTCTAAGGGGTTGTAACTATGCTCCATCTGTTACTAATTGTAAAGTGAAGTTCAAACCAAGCTGTATTTATTTTTCTGAGTTAAAATATGATGTATTTAATTAATATTAAAATCCTATATTGCTACTCCTCATGAAGCATGTTAGATTCAGTGCTTAGCTGGGATGTAATGTTTCTTGAAGAGCATTCTCACTCAACTGCCAAGTTTTACTCGCTATTTAAAAAACTAATTATTAATTAGGTATGTTACAGTCCAGGATGCAGATATGAAGTTCACAGACCTCCATGGTAAAATAAAAATATGGTAAGAAAAAAATATACAGCATATATCCAGCTTCTAAGATACAAAACGAATAAATCTATTGATGAGTGACGATAAATGTATTGTATTATTTTAAATAATTATAATGAAAAAAAACTTATCATGGTGGTTAGAAAGTACAAAAGATCAGTTTAG